CTTAAATACTTTTGGGTGGAATTAGGCCAGAAATCAGATGGGATGAGCCCCTTGCATTCTTGTCCCTTCGCCCCTGGCTTTGCTGTCTTGTTTTTTGACATCCGCAAAACTCTGTTCCTGTCCGTGTCTAGGTCCCCAGTGCTACCACAGCCAGCAACATTTCCTGTTGAGGCGATAGTGAATGGCAGGAGGGAGGGATCTCTTCAGCCAGTAGGAGTGAGCCACGCCCAGCCAAGGGGCCTATAAAAGGCAGGTCCAGCAGAACAACCCACACTCTCAATCTGGATGTGTGAGACTGAGGACCTTTAACTTGAACTTCAACATGGGATTGGGAACCGAAGACCGAGATCCCCACGGCCCCTCCAGCCAATGCCAAACTGGTCAACCCCCTTTCAAACAGATTTCCTTTACAGATGGAGACTCAGATGAGGAGAAGAAACCATTTGAAGAAAAAGGCAAGGCACTCTCTGCCCATTCCAGTGAGAACTACAACACCCAGAGGCGAGGTAAGGTCTTGGGCTGTTCGTATGGAGGCCGGAAGGAGGAGTGCAGTCAGGGGCATCGAGTGTGCGTTTGGTAGGGTTTCATTTTGAGGTTGGGGATTAGAAAAGACTTATAGCCCTCAGGGGGCTTTGAGAATGTGGCAGTGATCCCGTGGAACAGAATTTTTCCTTTTCACTCTTGATACTGGCTGAACAGCGTCAGCTGTGAGAATGACTCACAAATATGTGTCAGAGATAGACTATGGGCCTCTCTGCCTAGGGAGCGATGAGTCACTTAAACTCCCTTTTACACTACAATCGGAGCCCAATCTAAATGGGGAGGAGAATTCCAATGAAACTAAGCCCAAAGCCAGAAACGGTCCTGCTAGATCGGGTACGATTTGACTCTTCCCAGGTAAGGAGGGACAGGATATGGATTAACACAGTCTCCCCTGGGAAGGAAACTGGGAGCTTTTTGGCAGCCAGGGCCTCTAAGATCCTGGACTTAGGAGAACAGAGAAGACCCAAGTTTTGGTGGCGACCGCAGCTCCTGTGTGTCCAGGATGGACTAGAGCTTCTAAGGTGTTCGGCTGGAGGCACGCATTCAAACTCTCACTTTATCCACAGAATCAGACGCTAGTTCAGGTGGGGGAAACTCCAGGAAGAGGAACATCAGTTGCAAGGACAGCTGCCAAGACAGAGCAGGTAAGATTTGCTTTACTTGCCCCAAAAGGCAGACCAGCATGTAACTTCTATAGGGTTTGGCCAGGAAGGGGATTTCTTAGTGGCTGAGATGATTTTAGAGATTCTGGCATTCAGAAAGCTTTTGGGAACCAAGAGGTTTTCAGCTTTATTATAAAGGATGTGGGTGTCAAGGAAAAGGAGAGACAAGTGGGAGGTTCCAGAATGAGTGTCCATGAGAACTGTTCTGGCGAGTCTCTCATTCCCATGCTTCCTTGACAGGGAACTGTCTAGAAGATGAGTGCAGCTTGACTTTTGGAAAGAAACCAAAGACCTCTGCTGCTGTACACAGCAATGAAATGGAGGAGACCCACAATGCGAACCACAAGCGGCACCCGAAGGCCCACACTGAGCACAGCAAATGGCCCAGATCTCGTTTCTCAAGAGACCACCCACCACCACTTCGCAAAAGTCTGGTGAACTCCCTGCGTGCTATGTCTGAAGCCATTTATCAAGACATAGCCCAGGTGTGGGCACAGCAGGTACATTCTCCACTGACGTGGGAGCAGCTCTCTGAGCTCACCCAGCTCCAGGGGCCTCTGTGCACCGTGGTGCCGACCTTCTATGCCATGGCCACCCAGGCAGCCTGTGTCTTCCCTGCTGAGGACTGGCTTACTCCAGCCACACTATCTGGTCCTGGGGATCCAGTCCTGGATGGAGAAGCCCACAGCTCCTCTTAGGAGGGAGACATGTCCACCATTTACCTAGACAGGAGACAAGTAAGCCTGTCGGTGGATCAGATGAGGCTAGAGCTGGGGGCTCCTTGATCCTATTCAGCAGAGGATGCAGCTTTGGGAGCAAGAACAAAGACCTGCTACTTCTCAGATTCTTCCAGATGACAATCAGCAACAATTCTGGACACAGTGTGAATAAATGACAGGAACCTGGGTGGTGCTAATAAAGGAACTTGAACAGTATACTCAGAATGGTGAACTCTGGGTTTCCTTGAGGGCTGAAATTCCTGACAAATTTTATTTTTCGTGTTAGACATTTCATGCCTTTTAGATGTTTTATGAAAGTCACGTAATTGTAATTAGAAAAATATTAGGGTATAATCATTCATATGTGTTTGTATAATGTAAAGTATGGCAAAATGAATGTATGTTGATATCTTCCCCCTTTGATTCAGAAAAGGATGTAGACCTTCACTCTCCCAGCCCAAGTCAATGGAGGATTGATACCCACTAACCTTTAATAGCATTCTCTATGGAGACATGTTTACGTTTTTTCAGTTTAATGAAATCATGGTGAAATTATCATGCCATTGTTTATTACTTTTTATTTTCTTTATATACAATCTAAGACAATGTTATTAAATGCTTACGGATCATATTTATTCTTCACTTGGCTTACATAATTTGCTTTTTAAAACTTCCTTGCACTTTATGGGTTTTAGTTGATCTTATTTTATTGTGGAATATTAAATCTAATGTAGGTATTGTCATTTCTTACACACTGTGATATTTTATTTCATATATTTTCTATCGCATTTTATAGTAGGATCATGTAATATTTCACTCATATAAATGCACTTACCTTTTATACAGAAAAAATAAAAATATGTGGGTGTTTACTTCCTTCCCTGCCTTATAATTTCCATATTGCATTGTAATGAGCTAAAACATCAATGGTTTTTGAGTATTTTAAATTTTAAATAATTATGCCTTTATCCATATACTGCATGTGTGGGGTACAGGGTGGTTTTCTCTTCACTTCTGTTTCATCTCCACTGTGACCTCCCAAGAACCCACAGCTCTTGTAGTTGGGGGATAGTGGTTTACTATTTCAGTAAGTGAGGCCAATTCAAAATAATATACTACAAATCAGTTTGAAACCAGGACAGGCCTTCAAAGCATACACAAGTGTCCATATGTGTAGAAAAAATAATTTACAAGTTTCAGTTCAGGTGTGAGATGAAATTTCAAAAAGATTATTAAAGTAAATTAAAATAGAGACCAAGCCTAAGACATCTCTGGGTAGACAAAACCAGTTATACCTAATGAGTGACTTTAACCTTGCTTGATTTACAAACACAAGAAAAAATTAAGCTATTTCTTTTCAAGGCCTATGTTAAGAAAAAACAGCTCAACCAATCACAAGTTGTCAACAAACTCATATAACCAGGAACTTTCCAACAAAGTAAACAAAAATTCAATTTTGTCACGGCAACCAATTATTTTGCTTACGTTTTCCCAGTAAATACTTGCCTCTGACACTTTGTCTTAGAAACACTAAACCTTTTTCAGTCTGGGGCTCTCCAATTCATGAATTGCTTTTACTCAAATTCTAAAATTTATTGTGCTTTAGTTTACTTGTTAATGGAATAAAAATAAAATTACCTAGAAATAAATCTAATAAAGACGTGTACAGTGTATGAGAAAAATGATAGGAAATTTCTAGAATATATGAATTTTGACATAAACAGATGGAAAATCACATCATGTTCTTAGGTAGAAAAACTTAATATTTTCAACATCAATTGTTCTTAAGGTGCTATGTAAATTTAATCTTGTTCCAATACAGATAACACTAGGTATTAGAGGTAGGTATGTTATTGAAAAAAAAGGTAAAAACACAAATAATAGCCAAGGAAACTCTGAAAAAGAAATAAATGAGATTGACCAGTCCTATGAGATATCCTGATTAATGAAAAAACTGATAGAACAGTGGAGGTAAAAATTCAGAAACAGAATGAAGTGCAAAAGTAAGTGTCTTAGTCCACTTGGGCTGCTATTAGAAAAACTCCTTAAACTGGGTAATGTGTAAACAACAGTTCAGAAGTCTGGAAAGTTTAAGATCAAGGCATCAGAAAATTTGGTGTCTGATGAGGCCCTGTTTCTCATAGATGGTGCCCTCTTGCTGTGTCCTCGCATGGCAGAAGGGACAAGGGCGCTTCCTTCAACCTCATTCACAAGGACATTAATTCTATTTATGAGGACAGAGTCCTCCTGACTTAATCCCATCCTCCAAAAGGCCGATAACTAATGCTATCACATTGGGGATTAAGTTTCCACATATGAATTTGTAAGTGGGGGACAAAAATTTAGCAGAAATTTAATAAGCAATAAAAACTGCAATGAAAATGACATCATTAATACTTGAGGTATGGGAATTTGATGCTCCTATTACAAAAGTAACAAATTGATTTATTATTTACAAACTATAATAATAAAGTTCCAACGAAAGACAAATCTACATGGCAAAAAAATCAAATTTTGATAAGGTTAGTTCTAATAGGTTGTACCAGGATTTTTGAGGTTCCTGAGGTGGACAGGGCCATAGAGTTCCCTCCTATGACATTTTACACTGAAATTGCTCACACTATTACTCAACTAGAAAATGCTTACAATTTTTTCTCTGTTTCATTATTTAAGAAATTCAAAAGAAAGAAGACCTGATCCATACATGATTTTCAAACGATTATTCAGTCCGTGGTCCTCTAGTGAGGAAGGGCACAGAGGCGTGATGTTCTGTCCAATAGGAGACTTTTCCCTGAGTTAGATCTTCATCTGTCATGATCAGAGGCTCTTACAGCCACACACTGCTCTGCGGCCCTACCACACGGGCTTAAGCTGGAGAATCTGACCCAGAAAGCGACTGCTGAATATGTGTCCTAGTACTATGGTCCCCAAGGGTCCTGCCTTCTCTTAATAATCCCTTCCAGGACTCTGGGATCTTTCCTGGAACCATCTACCACATACCGATAAACTGTAAAATGTGCACAGGAGCTTTGATCCTCACTGGGACCCCTAATCTGTCCCATAAACTTCTCTAGAAGTTCAATGTTTTAATGTCTCCTGAGAGCCCATATCAGGTATCACTCTGTGCCAAGATGATTAGGAAGAAGAACAGGCAAGATTTAGACTTTGCTGGGGGCTGATCTACGTTCCCTTACCTGATTTATGTCTCTGATTTACCCAAATAGTGACAACTGTATATTCATTTCTAGGTGGCAGAAAAACAGGAGTAATAACGGCTCACAGAGGAAGGAGAAAATGGATAGGGTCGAGCTTAAGCTCAGCCATGGGGTACCAAGTCTCCTCAGGAAGAAGTAATAGTTCTCCGTCATCTGAAGCGACTGTGGCTTCAGACAGCTGGCACCGAGAGTGCACGGTCCTCCTCTCTAGAATTCCATGTCTGCGTCACAGAGAGGTGGAACAGTCCCAAAGGATTCTTAAGGGTGATATGGGGACCAAAAGGAGAAGATGAACCCACAGCCTCTGTGCTACCATCCCAGTTATTTTTGACATGCTTGTCTTTTAGTCTTCCTACTAACAGTGAGAGTGATTTACACACCGCGACTACAATGTTAGAGTGTTCTGTATTTTTCTGTGTACTTACTTTTACCAGTGAGTTTCATACCTTGAGATGATTTCTTGTTGTTTGTTAGTGTCCTTTTCTTTCAGATTGACTAACTCTCTTTGGCATTTCTTGTAAGGTAGGTGTGGTGTTGACAAAATATTTCAGCTTCTGTTTGTCTGGGAAAGTCTTGATTTCTCTTTCATGTATGAACAATAGCTTTTCTGGATACAACATCCTAGGTTGGAGGGTTGTTTCTTCTTTCAGCCCTTTTCCTGTGTCATCCCACTCTCTCCTGGCCTATGATGTTTCTGCTGAGATGTCTGCTTCCAAATATATTGGTGCTCCTTTTTTTTTTTTCCTTAAGGGTGATTTATATTGTCTTTGTGTTTGTATTTTTTTTTCAATTAGAATGTGATTTAATTTTCTGATGAAAACCACCCAGATGCTAAAATCACAAACATTTGTATGTATACATGGAATCTTATTCTATTAGTCAGTTTAGACTAAATTATATTGCAGTAATGACACCCCAAGCTCTGATCTAGGTTCCCTTACCTGATTTATGTCTCTGATTTACCCAAATATTGACAACTGTACATTCATTTCTAGGTGGCAGAAAAACAGGAGTAATAACAGCTCACAGAGGAGCAGAAAATGGAATCAGTGCTCCATAAGCTTACAACAGCACTGGTTCGTTTCTGGCTCATGTTTATATCCTTTGCAGGGCAGGTGCCGCTCTGCTCTGTCTCTTTACTCTGGGATCGAGATGAAGGGACAACCTTCAACTGGGGCATTATGGCAGAGGCACAAGAGGAATGTCAGAATGAGATGAAGGCTCTTAATGTTTTTACCTGGAAACAGCAAATATCATTTTCACTCACATCAAATTGACCAAATCCAGAAATATGGCTAAGCCTGAAGTCAATGGGTCAGGAAAAAAAATCTCACAGGGAGGACCAACAGGCAGACAATACATAACAAGGAGAAACAAAGAGTTTTGAATAAATAGTACAATCTGCCAGAATTCTTTATCATGAGTTATTCACTTCCCTGTCTTTGTAAGCAAAATACATCCACACTTTTGCATTGGGATGCCAGATTAAATGCAGCCTGCCCAGGTAAATTTGAATTTTGGATAAATAATGCATAAATTTTTAGGATAAGTATGTGCAAAATATTGCACGGTGTGATATACTTATCCTTAAAAAATTGACCATTGTTTATCTGAAATTCAGTTTCTTGTAGGCATCCTACATATTTTATTTACTAAATCTGGCAATCCTACTCCAGGAAAACAAACTAAAGATTCCATTCAGGTGCAGCATCAGTCTGGAATTCCATGGTCTCATGGAATTCTCTACATCAGACCGAGATGTTCATTC